CTCCGCCCCTGCCAGCGCGGTGTTGAGAAAACAGATGGAACGCTCTCCGTGGTGCAGATGGTACATGTCGGCTGGCTGCACAATGTCCTCTAATACGCGTAGGGGAGCTTCCGACGTAAAGCCGTGCGCCTCCATCTCAGCCCAAGTCTTTGGACAGCCGTGCTCGTCGGCAATCTTGTGGTGGTGGGCGAGGGTTGCCAGGGCACCCGTGTGGCGGATGACCTTGGCGAGCTTGGCGTGGAGATTCTCAAGGTCCGCCAGCTGGCAACCCCACGTCGTGGCGAATTGCGTGCGAAACTCTCTGTGCGCTTCCTGCCACGGGAGGCACAGGCCCATCATTGCCTCGAAGATGTCGCCAGTGACCTCGGGGTTTGGGAAGGGCCATAATTAGCGTGGCCCGGGGCTCTCGTAACTGCAGCATCATGACCACCAATAGTACTCTGAGTGCGTGTGGGGAGAGCGGCTGTCCGCCCGCGCTGACCAGTGTGTCTGTGAGCTTTGTATCAATCCCCTCGTGCTGGAACAAGGCGCTCAGGTTCTCCATGCCTGGATGCAACCCGTGCCGACGGCACTTGCATGTGGTAGAGCTCCATGCCGCTGGAAACTGATGGAGCGTGCTCCGGGGAGTGCAGTGACTTTTCTTCTTGGGGACCCTGTTGGAGCCCACCATGTGAGGTAGGGGTGGGAGCGACTCGTAAGCGACCCCAAGCTGCTTGTCGTTCCATGGCGTGCCAAGCCCGAGGAACACTCTGGCCTACGCGCAGCCTCGCGCGCAGATGGCAGAGGATTGCGAGGTGTTGAAGACTAGGGCATCCGAGCGACTTCGTCCCGATGTTCGACTTTTACGTCTAATGTTTCGACCTCCTCCTCTCCATGTTTACGGTCCCCCAGGTTCGAACTTTCGTTCAGTTGTTCCTGATGTACAACTCGCCCCCCGGTACGGCTACTACCTGATGCTCGACGGCCGTGGAGGGGCCCGCGTGGGGCGTAGCCGACGAGAAGAGTTTACGATGATTCACCTCAGCTTGAACCGCATCCGCGCCAGTCTCGATAGAACCCGCGGCAATACTTGAGGGGCCCACCTCCACGAAGGCCCACCTGTACCTCGACTGGGCCATCGCGCCCCTCGTGCTCGAAACCTGCAGGGACCGGCGGCCCGCGGGCGCGCGTGGGCCGCGGCCACGCCGTTCCGCGCGGGAGCAACATCGTCGCTATCCGCAACCTCGCGTCCTCCTCCTCGTCAGCCTTCCCTCTCCTCCTCCTCCTCCTCCTCCTCCTCCTCCTCCTCCTCCTCCTCCTCCTCCTCCTCCTCCTCCTCTCGTCGTTCTCCTCCTCCTCCTCCTGTTTCCTCCTCCTCCCCCTCCTCCTCGTCCTCGTCCTCCTCTTCCTCGCCTCCTCCTCCTCCTCCTCCTCCTCCTCCTCCTCCTCTTCCTCCTCCTCCTCCTCCTCCTCCTCCTCCTCCTCCTCCTCGTCCCTCTCCTCCTCCTCCTCTTCCTCCTCCTCCTCCTCTTCCTTCTCCTCCTTTCCGCTCCTCATCATCCCCTGCTTTCTCCTTTACCAATTGTCCAGGACCTCAGCTTTCTGCTGCTCCTCCCTGTCATTATCTTCTTCGTTCTGTTCCCTCCCTCCACCTACAGCCTTCCTTCCCAGGGAAGAGGAAGATGAGGAGGAGGAGGAGGAGGAGAAGGAGGAGGAGCGTGAGGAGGAGGAGGAGGAGGAGGAGGAGGAGGAGGAGGAGGAGGACGGCGACGTCGACGACGACCTCTCCCTCTGACCGAATAACTGGAAGATGAATAGAAACAGAGAAACATGTGAGAAGGAGAAGAAGGAGGAGGAGGAGGAGGTGAAGATGAGGAGGAGGAGGAAGAGATAAGGAGAGGAGGGAGGACGACTGGATGGACGAAAACGGCGAAACCGGATGGAGGGAGAAAAGGACGACGGCGAGCGCACAACGAACACAACAGAGACGAGGACGACGACGGCAAGGACCTCGTCTTCCGGCACGTGCGGGGCGGACATGAGGTCCACCCGACTGTCTGCGCCAGCGACCGTGGCGACGAGGACGCGGGCGTCGCCTAGCCATGCGACGTGCACCTGGTCGCCCTCCAGCCTTCTCCTCCGCCTTCTCTTCCTCCTCCTCCTCTGCCGCCTCCTCTGCCTACATCGTACAATGCTCGTCTTCCAGCGCCTGGCCCTCATCCTCCTCATGCGCCTCCTCCTGCTCCTCCTCCTCCTCCTCCTCCACCTTTTCCTCCTCCTCCTCCTTCTCCACCTTTTCCTCCTTCTCCTCCACCTTTTCCTCCCCCTCCTCCTCCTCCTCCTCCTCCTCCTCCTCCTTCTCCTCCGCCTCCTCCTCCACCCCTTCCTCCTCCAGAGAAAGAGGAGGGAGAGGAGGAGGAGGAGGAGCGAAGGGGGGGAGGGGAACAATGAAGGCCCAGGAGGGCGAGGACGATGATAAGTAAGGCCGAAGGCTCGCCTACCGCCCAGCAGGCGCGGAATAGGAGGATCGGGTCGGACGCAAGGAGTTAATAGAGGGGGGGGGTATATACCGGACCAGCTCACGTAGCTGCTTGTCCCCGGGCCTCCCAGCGCCAAAGGCGCACGGCGGGGTCAAACCAGCTGCGTGCAGCAGGCCTGGAAGCCCAACCTTTCCCCATCCCCCGTCCCCACCCTGCCGTCCGAGCCAGGAGGGGTTGGAGGAGCGCCGCCGTCGCCCCTCTCCCCTCCTCCTTCTCCTCCTCCTCCCCCTCCCGGCGGAGGAGGAGCAGGGGGCAGGGCGAGGCGTGGGGGCCCTCTGGTCCACAAAGGGGGCCCTCTTTCCGAAGGGGGGGGGGGGGGAATGGGGGGGGGGCCACCTGCCCGTCCCTGAGGCCCACGAAAAGGGAGGGGAGGACCAGGGGGAGCGGCAATGCCGCTCCCTGGTTGCCGCAATTCGCCACGAGGGCGGCGCACCGTGCGCGTAGAATCGTAGAATGGCGTGCCGTGTCTGTGGCGCTGGCCACGTCGTACGTCCCAGGCAGTGGGTATAGTAGTATTGTGTCAATCGCGGGGTGTCAGCTTTCTGTGCTGGTACTATTACATCGTACTCTCTAGTCGTCGTCCTCCTGGGTCCTGCACCGCGCGCGCTTGGTGTCCATACTGGGTCGTCTGCACGGTGCGCTTGTTGTGGGTAAGTACCCGTTGGAGATGGGAGGCCGAAGTTCTTGCAGAAATCCAATGTTGATGGCGTTGCCTTGGCAGTCGAGCAAGTCCAAGACGTACTTGGTAGCACCTGTAATCGTAGGCTGGTAATGCAATTCGACTTCGTCAGCCACGTCGTACTCGGTGTATGTGTCATTCATGCAGTTGACTTAGGTACTCTGGTGTGGTTCAAAGACGTACGCTTGGCCATATAGCTTTGCTGTCGTTGCCACTTTCGGCCCGCCGACTTTAGGAGGGCATGCGCTGATCTCGAGCGTGACGTAGTCCGCCTTCTCGGAGTCCTTTGGGATGTAGAAGTGGAGCCGCGCTGCCGCGTCGCATGGGTGGCTCTCCACCATGATGCTCTGCTTGGTCGCATGTCTTGCGCCATGAGCCCCTTTTTTCCAAGTGGTCAATGCCGTATGTTGCCGTCCGCAAAGCAGCGATCTCAAAGATGTACAACGGGCGAAGAGCAGATCGCGGCCCCAAGCCCAGGCCACATTACCGAAGAATCGACGATCCACGAGCCGCTATGGGAGTGGAAATCTTCGGTCGGTGCGTCGGGGGCGTGGCCGTCGAAATCGAGCGTGTCCAGCCCAGCGCGGTCGTAGTCGCCGTGCTCGTCGTGGTCGACGTCGACGTTGTCGTGGCCAAGGGCGTCGACGAGGCCGTCGTGGAGGATGTGGCCGCCGGAATCCCCGCAGTCGTCGTCGATGTAGTCGACGGGGTCGTGGACGCGGCTGGAGGCGAAGTCTCGGTCGTGGTGGCAGTCGAGCGAGCTCGAGACGGGGGGTCACATGTGCAGGCGCCTGGTCTTCATCTTGAACCCCTTCGTGATCCTCTTCGTCCTGGGTGTGGTCAGCTTCGTCACCCTGGGCGTGCTCTTGGTCCCTGGTCTTGTTGCCATAGTCCTGGTCCTCCGCCGGCTGGGTGCGGGCGTTGACATGGTGGTCGCGGTCTGGTTCGAGGGCAGGTAGTCAGGAAGAGGAACGGCATGGTTTGAAACATCGGGGGAGCGGGCGGCGAGCCGGGATGCCTTGACCTGGGATGCCTTGAGCCGATCTCTTCGTAGAGGGTCCGTGGGCACATGTACTTGCTGAATAGAAACTGGGCGCAATGATAGGCATGATGGAACAGTGTGCGTAGGCAAGTAGGTGGGTAGTCCATTGGAAGCTAGCGGTGCAGGCAAGCAACTATTGTCCTGTAAAGTCCACGTACGCGCGCAGGTAATGATCCGCGTGCCTGCTGATGCCTCGGTATTGATGGCTGGCGGGGAAGAAGACAGAAGGAATGATAAGGATGTAGTTGTTGGTCTGGTAGCCGAGCAAGAGATGTAGTTGCCCTCGCCGTACTTGGCGGACTCGCTGAGGACTGCTTGTGGCGCTTCTCCTGGTGAATGGCGTTGACGTCGTCCTCGTCGTCCTTGGTGTGCTCGTGCTCCTTGTTCCGGTTGTCGCACTCACTCTTGGGGCAGTATGTCACGTTGTGGCACTTGGCGCTCTCGCCTTCCCGCTGCGGGGGCTCGCCGATGTAGTGGTCTCCAGCGTGGTGTTCAGGAACCGTACGTGCTCGAAATCGCCGTAACCCTTGATGCCCTTCCACTTGTACTCTTGAGTGCACTTGCCGAGCTCGTCGCACATGTACTAGTGAAACTCGTACACGTCGTTGATCTTGTACGGCGCGAAGTGGAGGTTGGCCATCCTAGGCGCGATGTCGCCCTGCTTGCAGAAATTGTGTGCAACGATCTGGTCCAAAGACTTCACCTCGTAGTTACACTTCTCCTTGAAAAGCTTGGCCTGTTAATTTCCCTTGAAGACGCCAACGGGAGTAGGTACCTCGGCATGCAGAATGTCGCCCGTTGGCTCGTAGTCAAACCTCACCCTCACCTGCTGCGGGCAATTCTTTGCGGCCATGTGGATGTACCGTTGGTGCAGAACCAAGCAGTTTCGGCTAAGCGGTGCCATGTCTTTGCCCTCGGCGACGGTCGAGTGTGTAGGAGTTCTCGACATAGTCGCCAGATCACTCGTAGAACTTGGGCCACTTGAGCTGGCAACGCTTCATGTATTGCTTCACCGCGTCGTCGATCTCACGGGCTTTGAAGCAGATCTGTTCCATGTTGTCGTAGACGTCGTACTTCACCGTGTGTGTTTGCACGAACGCCTGGAAACACGTGTTGTCGGCGGCCGTCGGAATGGTAGGGCGGCGCCACGGCATCCGCGTTGTAGACGCCCACTTCCATTGAAAAGGTATCGCGGATGGTACTGCTGTTCACCTCAGTCGCGCAGTGCTCCATGGTGACCACCATCGAAGCAGTGGTTCCTGGACGGTGGGTAGGTTGCCAACGATGGAGCCTGAGGAGCCAGAGTACCACCTACGTACAATGCACAAGTATAAATGCGCGACCTCAATAATACGCAGACCTGTCCCGTGGCAGTATACATGCGCGGTCTCGTAGTTTGCGGATGCTGTTGGTCAGTCGTGCGCCAGTGTGGCATGTGTGGCATCTGTCCGGTATTGCGCTTCTTCAGATGACAGGTGTGTAGGGCTCGTCCTCAATGTTTTCCACTACCACCAGCTCTGCTCAGCCTCAGGGTGACGAAAGCGGATCAGTGAAACGCGACCCGGGGAATGAGTGTTTCCCAGACTATCGGCGAGTGCAGCAAGTCTTAGGTACACTTTTGTACCAGTCATCTGCAAGGTATTTGTGTTCGTCTAGGCGCCACGGGGCACGAGTCAGCAAAAGCAACAAGAGCCAGAGAGTGACATCATACACACATCGGCGGCATGTCTGCAGCATGTCGTTCTACTTCGCGGCCTGCACCATCGGGTGTGGCAAACGTGGCATAACTTCGTCGGGCAGCGGCTGTGGCCCACTCTGTACGCGCCCCGCCGGTGGCGGCGGGCGTGCTGAGGCCGGCCCCCTCTGCTGGGTCCCAGCGCGGCGGCGCGGGGGCCCCGGGGCCAGGAGGGCCTTCGACCGCCCGCCTCCTCCCGCGCCCGCACGGCGCAACCGGGGTGCACATCGCGGTAGGGCGCCGCGTGCGATACGCCTGCTGCCGACCTGGCCTTCCTCCTCCTCCTCCTCCTCCTCCTCCTCCTCCTCCTCCTCCTCCTCCTCCTCCTCCGTCGCCCCTGCCCATCTCCCTCTCTTCCCTCCCCCATCCGTCCCCGTCGTCCGTCAGCCTCATGTTCCGCCCCCCTTCCCCCCCCTGCCGCCCGCTTTCGTCCCTCGCCCGTCTGCTCCCCCCCCAACTGCCTTGCCCTCATCCCCGTTCCCTCCCTAGCGCCTCCCCCCCTCCTTCGTCGCCCCTCCTCCCCCTCGCCGTCGCCGCCGCCGCCGCCGCCGCCCGCCGCGGCCGCCGCCGCCGCCGCCGCCGCCGCCGCCGCCGCGGCCGTCCCGAAGCGGTCGCCGCCGCGGCCGCCGCCGCTGGCGGCCCCTGCTGGCCGCCGCCCATCGCCCGAGCGGCCTGGTCGCCCTGTCGCAGCGCGACGGCCGCGCTGGCGCCGGAGCAGAAGAGGTCGAGGCCGCGCAGCGCGGCGAACTCGGCGAGGTCCGCGCTCGCGGCATCGAAGGCCCTGGCGACCACGGCCTCGGCCAGCCGTCGCTGCTCCTGCGCGGCCCCTCCCAACTTGTCTCGCCGGGGCCCCCTGCCCCCCGAGGGAGAGACAGGGCGTTTGGGCGCTGGCTGCGGTCAGGAACTCGTGCATCGTGCATCGCGGCGGCGGCCCCGGCGGCACGCTATGCCTTGCGAATGGGCAGCGCGTCGTTCCTCTCCCTCTCCGTTGTGCGGGAGGCTCGGAAAGGCTCGGGGCGGCGACGCCGCGGCGCCAAGAGGTCGATACCATGTCGCACCGAGGCGTGGTGGGCCAGAGCCGGCAGAGCGACACGCTAGCCACAAATGCCCCACAATGTGTATTGCGTTCTCGACCAAGTGCAATGACTACCTCGTGGCTCCGGAAAAAAAGACCGTCGGCTGGCATGGCGCCCATCCCGCTCCCCTCTCCGCGCTCGAGCTGGGCGGCTACGTGCCAGCTCGAGGCCCGCTACATGGCACCCCGCTTTGGGGAGCGAGGGGGAGCATGTAACAGGAGGAGGGGCCCAGCGCGAGGATGGCAGACAAGGAGATGGATGGATGCATGTGATGACGAGGACGAGGAGGGGGAGGAGGAAGCTTCCTCGTGGAAAAACTTTGAGTCAAGGGTGTGAGAGTGAGGGAGAAGTCTCCTCCACATTCTCCGTATTGTACTCCTCATCCTCCTTGAAAGAGGGACGGAGGAAGGGTGGAACACATATGGAAGGATGTTCTTCCGCCTCCTCCTCCTCCTCCTCGTCCTCCTACAGGACACCTCCTCCTCTACTCCTCCTCCTGGACTCGTCCTCATCATTGGAAGTATACTCACTCGTGCTGCCCTTTACTGCCCTCCTCCTCCTCCTCCTCCTCCCCCTCTCTCCCTCCATGCACCCCCTAGTAATGATCGGAATCGTAAGCGTCGCATCGCCATCGTCATGATCAACAACAACGCATCAACAACACCGCCCTCATGATCTACGTAATGACAACCACACGCAATCACCGTCACCGCCGACACAATCACACCCGCCTGCTGACCCTGCCCACCGCCTGCGTTTCACCTCTCCTATTCTCAAACTGTCCACTCCGCTAGAAGCCAGAAGCCAATGGGGCATCGTCCCCCCCATCTCGGTGCCAGTAGTCTTGTTTTTTGTTATTCCTCCTCCTCGTCCTCCTCCTCCTCCTCCACCTCCTCTTCTTCTGAAAGGGGATGGGGGGAGGAGGAAGGGAGTTTCTGGGAGGGAGTGGAAGCAGATGACGCGCGCGCGCCTAGAGGAACCAGCCGTCGTTCTCCTCCAGCTCTTCCAACTCCTCCTCCTCCTCCTCCTCCTGCTCTTCCAATTCCTTGGACATCGAAGGAAGTCTAGATAAAACACGCGGCCGCCCTCCTCTGATAGCCTCTAGCACCGAGACGACAATTTAGCCCGCCGCGACCACGCCCTTCCTGCTCCTCTTCCTCCTCCTCCTCCTCCTCCTCCTGCCTCCTCGTCCTCGTCATCGAATTTCTCCCCACTATCTCCTCCTCCTCCTCCTCCTCCTCCTCCTGCCCCTCCTCCTACTCCTGCTCCGCCTACTGTTGCTGCAGGCTGTTTCGGCGTCTGGTCTGCGACCTGAAGACTGTGCCTGATCCCTCCTCCTCCTCCTCATCCTCCTCCTCCTCCTCCTCCTCCTCCCCTCCTCCTGCCTCTCCTGCCTCCTCGTCCTCGTCATCGCCTTTCTCCACGTCCTCTCGTCCCCCTCCTGCCCCTCCTCCTCCTCCTACTCCTGCTCCTCCTACTGTTGCTGAAGGCCGTTTCGGCGTCTGGTCTGCGACCTGAAGGCTGTGCCTGATCCCTCCTCCTCCTCCTCCTCCTCCTCCTCCTCCTCCTCCGCCTCCTCCTCCTCCTCCTCTGCTCCTGCCTCCCCGTCGTCGCCCTGCTCCCATTTCCTCCCCTCCCGCTCCTGTGGCCGCTGCAACTCGCTGTCGAGCCCGTCGAGGATAAACTTCGGCAGGCTCTGGGCGACGCGGAACGAGGCCAGGTGCCCCAGGGGGCCGTGCCCGTCGCACACCGCGTACACCGTGCGGTCGTCGGATGCGCACGTGACGCTGAAGTTGTCCTGGTCGAGAGGGGGTGGGGAGGCGAGGTGGGGGGGGGGCGAAAGGGGTGGGGTGGACGAGACGAGGGGGAGGAGGCGGCGAGGCGGTCGGCGCGAAAGCAAATGAGGCGGGGGGGGGGGGGAGGGAGAAACGGAGAGGGAAGGACATGGAGGACTGGAAAAGGAAGAATATATATATATATAGAAAGAGAGAGAGAGAGAGAGAGAGAGAGAAAGCGAGAGAGAAAGAGAGAGAGAGAGAGAGAGAACAACAAAAAGAAAACAACATAACGAGAGAGCGAGAGAGCGAGAGAGACAGAGAGAGAGAGAGATGACACTATTTCAACCAAAACGATGGTGACAAACAAGGGGGTAGCGATAGAGTGAGCGAGAGAGAGAGAGAGAGAGAGCGAGAGAGCCATGCATAGACATGTATAGCGAGGAAGAAGCGGGACATGTATCTACTAGGATGGGCGGGGATACGCATACATTCAAAGAAGTAGCAACACAGACAATTAAACCACCACCAGCAACACCACCACTACCACCACCACCACCACTTACACCAACATCAACACCCACACCACTAACAACATCAACACCAACAACACCACCACCAACAACAGGCGACAACAACAGCGCCACCAGTTAGACACGTCAGTCTACGACATGAGGCTGAAAACGAGGAAGCGGTAGGAATCGATGCGAATGGGGAGGAACGCGGTGACAAAGAGCATGGGGAGGAGAGGGGGTGCGGTGCTGAGGGCTAGGGGCCGACAAGGATGATAACGGCCCTCGGATTGGGTCTGAGTGTAGATGACACCTTTCGCAATACCAAATACAGTGTGTGTCATACAAACTAAAAAAGAGACACGGCAAGTTGCCACCTGTCGCACCCCAGAGCGAAAACGGCGGCGGCGGGGGGGAGACGATCACTCAAGGCAAAGGTTAGACCAACCGTTCGGGTCTCGTGCTCAAATGGGTCAGACTGTGCCTCGCCCGTCGCCGCAAACAAACCATGCGGCGACAAGCAACACCTGAATAAGAACATGCACTCCAGCAAATCATTGATGGAGCGCGCCCTCACTCCCTTGCATGCTCGACTTCTCGATTTCCGTCACCATATGCTCCAAGAACAGAATTCGCCGTAGCAGCCCGCTTACTGCCATGCATACCACCTGACAATCGCGAACGTACTTCGCAAAATGCGGTGTTCTGTGTCTTCCCAGACCGTCATAATGACCGCGACTGTCGCCGATGCAGTCAGTGCACACACCGGCCGTCTCTGCCTGTAGCGGTGGACGAGGAGCCGACGGAGTCGCGATGGTCGGCGTTCTCCTTGGTGAGATTGCGATGTTGTGAACCAGGCGCGGCCCTATCGTGCCTCTCTTCGCTCAGCCTGACCGTCTGGCGGTCGTAGCTGAACTTGCCGCACATTCCGCGCAACATGAAGTCGCGGCCGATGCTGAACTTCGTCATGGGGTTGGCGCGCAGGTCTCTAGTGTCGCACCGCAAGATGTCTCTGTTTGATGAGAAGCTATCCGGTAGCCGCCAGAGATTGCCCACCATGCAATTTCCCGGCGGATGTCGAACACGGTCCACGATATCCTCGGCTGATGCAGGTCCACGGACCATCTCGTGGAGCGTCAGGAGGTGCGCCTGTAGTCCGTCGGCTGCACCGTATGCTGCGAGCAGCTATGAGCCGAAGGACAATCGACGCACGAGTTCGTGCGATCGGGTCACGGCGCCGAGAAAGTGGCCGACCTGTTTACCAATACTGCGACACTGGCCCAGACGCATGTATAGCGCCCCCCTCCCCCCCCCCCCCCCCCCCCACTGCCGCAACGCATCCCCTCCTTCAGCTTGAGCGAGCCGTCGTTGTGGACGCACAGTCGCCCGCCGTACTTCATCGCGGGGAAGGTGATGCCCGCCTGGGTATTCTCCACAGCCAGAACGGCGGAGTTGAGCTGCATCCCGCGACGGATGAGCAGCTTGTGTTTGGCCCTCTGCAGCGCGACGACGTAGACGGCGACGCGGTGCTGCGCGGGCAGAGCGCATGCTGCTGTTTCGAGATGGGAGACGGAAAACTATGAGAATTGGCCTCTGGCCGGCGCGTCGGCCTGCGCCTTGACTAGGTCGACGTGCATAATGGGGATCAGGGCATCGATGCACTCGTCCTGGTCGGGTCACTGCGCCGTCGGCACTGCGGCGCTGGTGTACTACGCACTTGGTACAATCGTCATAACCACCCTTCATCTTGTCAAAGACGCTCTCGATGTAGCCGATCAGCCGGTCGACGTGCTCCTTGCGTCCAGCGATCTTCAGATCGCCAGCGCGCTCGGACAACGCGGGCTATAGCTCCGAGCCGCCAGAGCCATTAGCGTCGGGCGTCTCGTGCTCGACCTCCAGCTCCAGGCCGCGCCTCATCGGCCTGGCGCCGCGCCCTGGCGAGCGCGCGAGCTGGGCGAGCTCCGCGGAGAAAGCTCCGGGCGCATCCGCGCAGCCCGTGCCCGACTCCACGCAGCGCGGGCGCTCGGCCCGCTAGTGGAAGGACTCGCAGCTGGCATCTGCCTGGGGATACCTGCGCTGCCGGGCGGCAGGCAAAAGCTCTCCTCGCGCGGTGCTTCGCCCAACTTTTCCATCTCGGCGTAGGTCATGCCCTGCAGGAACACCTTCTCGACGTCCACGGCGACGCATGCCCTGTCTGGGCGATGCGCCGCTTCCGTGAACAGCATGCGCTGCGAAGCCCGCTTCGCAAATCCGGCGAACGTCGCCAGGGCTCTGGCGCCGCTCGGCTGATGCTGGCGGTAACGCCCGATCCCTTCCGGCGCTTTATTCGAAACGCGCGTCTGGAGACATTGACGTCATCGGCGCCCGAGAGCGGTCGCCTCTCGATACATGTGTGCTTGGCGCAGATGGCAAGCTCCCCGAACACGGCCGCAGCGACTTCCTCGGGCAACTTCGACACCTACTCTTTGGCCAGGAAGTCGGCGTCGCGCTTGATGACCGCGGTCTTGACTGCGCCAAGTACTTTAAGCGCGGATAACGAGGAATCCCCGGCAACGGGCGGATCCTCGTCGCAGCTCTGGAATGCATCGCGCGCCCCTGGGCCCGAGCACAACTCCGCGCGTTTCCCCCCCCGCGCTGCCCCCTGAGCGCGGCGTGGTTCTCCGCGGAGGCGCCGCGCAGAGACCGGTGACAATGCGCGCGGATGCTCTGGCGCTGGCGCCGCACCTTCCTCTAGGCGCTAGTGCCACCCATGTGGCCTGCGGCCTAGTCCGGCCGCCACATGCTCGATCAGCGCGCGTGTCTTCTGCTGGCTATCGGTGCTCTCTGGCGTCTGTGGTTTTGCGGTCAGATGCTCTGCCTCCTCGACTTCCTGCCAGGCTGCCAACGTCGCCTGCTGGATGCGGCCAAAGAAATCGCAGTCGGCCTCTTCGGGCACGACTCGCGCAAGGCTGATGGCGAACCGCTCTCGGTGACACTGGCGGCGACTTCGGGGGCGTCGATGACATGGTCATCGAACGCCCCGCCCTGGCCATGCCCGGCGTCTGCTGCAAGCAGCGGGTCGTCACCCGCGATGATCTGGATGGTGCGAGCGTCCTCCATCTGCTGACCGACAAGCTGGCGGGCGTCGAACTTGACGCTGTCCAAGTGTAGATGTTGGCCGTCGGTCGGTGTGCGAGGGGAACGCCAGGTGACCTAGCTGCAATCGCAGCCCGGACACTCGCCCACAGACTTCGCGCCGCGCACAAGGCGCACTGCACGAACGTCTGGGACATGAACACGTCTGCGGAACAAGCGGCCCAGGACCTCGAGGATGTCGGAGCAGTGCCGAACCTTTTCGGTCAGCTACGCGCCCTTCGCGCCATCCATCCTGAGCCTGCCGCGATGTTCCAAATCGTCCTCCGCGCGATCCCAGGCCAGGCCTGCCCGCGCCACGCCCGTGACCATGTCTTCGAGGACGGCGCCGATGAAGGCCCGTGCGTCCTGCAATCAGCAGACCGTCTCGGCTGCGCGATACTTGACTGCATCCTTGCCTCTAACGAGGTCCACAGAGATGGTCCTGCCAATTCCTGCGCTGCGCGGCGCGTCTTTCGCTTCGAAGCCCGCGGAGCCCCGCCTGGTCGCCAGTGTTCGAAGCGCCCCTCTCGAGTCTCGGCGGCGCGTGTCCAAGGGGCGCGGCTGACGCGGGCGATCGAAGTACCCTCGGTCGCACGTTGCAGGGCGATCCCGCGGATGCGCCACTCCAATCCGTCGGGCTGCACCTCGCCGCCATCAGCTGGCCCAGCGCCAGCAGCATGCGCCGACAGATGCCTCGCCCTCTTCGCATGCTTCGAGCGGTCGCAGCATGGAGGGCTGCCTGGCTGCCTGCCGACGACGATGCCGCACGGCGCAACGTCGCACAGGCGAGGCAGTCGCCTGCGAACATTGCGTCGGCAAGCACGGAGTCGATCTTGGGCGTGATGCCTTCGCACTCTAGATGCTCCTCGGTGGTGTGGAACCACGTGGCGGGCGCCGCGTAGCTGGCGCGGAGCTCGGATGACAAATTGCACTCCTCGCCTCGCTGTCTCCCACGCGAAGTGCGCTGAGGTCGCGCCGCCTCGCCGCGCGCGATGAATGTCTCCATCGCGCCGAATAGCTGGGCCCGCAAACGGTCGCTGGACGCCGGCAGCGTCGAGTCGAGGCTGCCCGCGACCCCCTTGCCATTGTGCCGCTGTTGCGCCACAGTGAGGCGCAGCAGGCCTGGGGCGGAATCGTGCCATCCATGTAGTCTTGTTGAATCGCGTCGACAGGCGCAGCGTGGGAATGGTCTGATGCGGACGCGGCAGCTATGTGCGCAAGCCCCGACAATCGTTGATAACTATGGGGATGAGGTCGAGGATTGCTTGCAGCATGTTGGCTCCAGAAGCTCGCGAGAATACCTCTCTAGTGGCGCGCCACCTCTGGGGGTGCACCTCGCGTAGCTCTCGCATGCGCGCCCCGCGCGAGTCGCAGCGTAGCCCTCGTAGCGACGTGGC